TGTTTCCAGCAGAGCAGTAAACTGAAAGTAACTGGAAGCAGTAAACTCCAGGGGCTGCTTGCCTGGAGAGATAGATGGTAGATTCCCCATCCCTGCAGACAAGGTCAGGCTGAGAGGGGCTCTGAGCAACTTGTGCTAGTTGTAGATGTCCCTATCTGTTGTGGGGAAGTTGAACTAGATGACCTTTAAAGATCCCTTCCAAATCAGACGACTCAATGACCCCTTCCCACAGTTCTCCAGTAGTTTGAGCACTGTTTGTGGGTTGAAGTGTTGGGAGGCTGACCGGAGATGAGAAAAGGGAATTTTGTGGTGATAAATGTAACTATCATTCACATGACCCTGGAAGAATGTTTCTTCTATGGGAAGGGATTGATACCACATTGAGTATTGATGCTCCAAGGAAGATAGCTCCAGCTGGCTGAGGCAGCTGTGTAAGCAGCTGAGTTTACCTTAAAGGGAAATTTTCCCATCTCCTGGAGTGTGGCATACAGTTTGTAATAGTGGGATGGATTGGACGATGCTGTTAGTGAGTTCTCTGTGTGGCTAATTTAAAGCCCTGTTGCATGTGGGGGAATACTGCTCAGCAGCCAGGATTTGATGTTTGTCTTGTGATCGTTTGGCGAGAGTGTTCCCATTGCTTCAGCCGATGTCTTTGCCAAAAGGATCTCTGGCTTCAATTTCACTCCTCTGGGAGGAAGCATCAGTGCAATTCATACCAGTCTTCCTGGAAGAGCTGCAGTGTCCTTATGAGGCTGCAAAGATGACATTTTCTTTTTAGTTCAGTTACCTTTGGAAGCAAAGCACATGCGAACAGCTGTGTGCAAGTCAATTTTGTTTCTCCTTTTCGAAATAGCCTTGAAATTATTGGTTTCCATCAACTCTGACAGAGATGTCTAAGGTGTGAGTTACTATATATATTTAAAAAAAAAAAAAAGCTTCATGTAAGTTCAATGACAGCAGGTGACTGCAGAAGAAATAATGTCCAGCCTGCCTTAGAAGGTGGAGGTGGGCTTGTGTGGTCCCATGCAAATTGGGTTGGGAGCTCTGGGTGTTGAGGGCGGTCATCTGGGGAACGTTGATCCAAAGGAGAGACCCAGGGAGATCAGCCTCAGTGATGGAGTGCTTGGGGAGGTTTGGGTTGTTCTTACTGTTTCAGAAACTGGATTTAGTTCAGAAAGAAGCATCTAGTATTAGAAACAAGAAAGAGGCAAGAGTTTGAAAGGGTCTCTCTTTTTCTTTAAGCAGTGTTATGACCCTCTGAAGAATTTGGCAGCTGTTATCTGAAGGGCTGGAACTGTAGCTGAGATACTACAGAGGTGAAAGCAGGGGGCTATTAAACAGGCCCTAACACCCACTCAGGGTCTCATTCCTTTCTCTCCTTTTCCTGCAGCCATCACCAGAATGACCTCCTGCTTTTCAGGAACAGAGCAGCAAGCATTTGGCTGTGCCCAGTTCTCATTGTTTCTCTGAGCCGTCTCGCTGGAAGAGATTAACTTGAAAGTGAATTTTCTCTGAGAGCCCATCTTGGGGGTGGTGAAGGGAAGAGCATTGGCACTGACCTTGGTCAGGGTGTCATGGGGAAGGCAGTGTGACCTGAGCATGGAAACATTAACCTGAGGCTGAGCAGTTGGCTCTGGGAGAGTTGCTTTGTCAGAGCTGGGGCACCCCAGTGCACACTGCCCTTGTGCTGTTTATCATCTAGGCTCATTTTTAGCAGCAGGGAGGATTGCTTCTCCCACTTTTTCCCCCTGTATTTGTCACCTGCTCCTAAATTTTCAAAAACTTCCTTGCCAATCATTTTTTCTATTGGCATCTTTCTCTGTACCTATGCTTGTTTTCACTAATGGGTTTGGCATCCTTTCTTTTTCTTTCCACCCTGGAACTCAATAAGCAAATTGTGTGGCTGTAAGTCCTTAAGTAGCTGTGTTGCTATGTTTTCTGTGCTCTTCAGAGAAGCATGGAAACCTGTCTTTGTTCAGTCTCAGGAGCGCAGCACGCTGCTGCAGCTACCAAAGAACAGCTTGCTTGTGGCACATCGAGCTGCAGCTTGGTTTAATCCTTGCTTGATACGCTTTTGAGATTTTATTGTTTCTCTATAATTAAGTGCTACAGCAGAGCTGAAAGAAATGACGAACTAGCAGGAGAGGGGGGAGCAGGGAGAGCAGGTGGTGATCGAACCAAGAGAAGCGGGAGCAGCAGGGAATTGATGGGGAGGAGCCTTGAGTTGAGATGCTTCCCTGCCATGTGCCCAAAAGGATTTAGTTTTGGATCTCATTGCTGTTCAAATAACGCCATACGCCCATAGGAAATTGAAGCCTCGGAGGCTGGGTATTGTCCAAGCACTTAGTGAGAAGCAATGTTTGCCCTGAAGTTCTAGCAGGCCTGGATGAGAGAGTAGGACAGAGCTGTAGTGTGGTCCTGTTTCTAATTATTCTGCATCCATTGTTTCCATTTTCATTGTGTAGTAACATCTTTAAAAATAAATGAGAACACAGAACCACTCTTTGTGTAGTCATTTCTATGGAAGGCCAGGACTTGAAGACTCTTCTCATGAAAGATTTTATCCGTAGCAGTGATTGGATCTCCTGTAGTGGTGTCGTGCATGGATTGTAAGTAGCATGTCTGCTGGACAAGCTGATACCAGCAGGATTTGAGCAGCACAGAAACGCTGGTGTGCCACATTGCAGGGAACTGCAGCCAGAAGAGCTTTGAGTCAGACACTGCTGTGCTGGTGATGACTGGGTAGTTCTAGGACCAAGTCTGTAGTGCAAATCTGACTGAAGGGTGAGAAGGTTTGTATTACAGGACAGTCTCCTGAGGTGCATTGCTGAGATGTAATCATACAGTATCCAGCTTGTCTTCATCTCCAGTTTATGATGCACTGAGGCATCCAAAGGAAGAAAGCATAGTACTGCAGCTTTGAATGTCAGCAGCAGTGATTCTGGGATCTGACTCTTTCTTAAGGAGTAACAGTCACAAAGGTTTACTTCTTTTGTTCTGACTTCCAAAGGTCTGTTGCTGCAGGGAGACTTGCAGTATGATGAAATGTGAGCATAACTCCCTTCTCCTGCCTTTTGTCACCACTTCTTCATGCTCTGCTGTGTATATCCTGAGTCACTTTGTGTGTTTTCACTTCGTTCTCCCTCTCAAAGCAGGAGCAGAGTAGGGATGGAGAGGGGCAGGTCTGTGCCACCAAGGGCTCTCAGTGAGTGGCAATGAGTCCTCTGTGTGCTGCCTGCCAGGCAGTGTTTGCTTTGGCATGGTTGCTGCACATTTAATGTTGTATATAATGCAGCCATGCTGCTGGCAGTCTAGCCAACTCCAAGTCAAAAAAACTCCTCCTGGATTTTCAGCCTTCCATCATCTCCATCCTTTGCTCAGAAGTCCTTATACTTGCTCAAGCTCATTTTCAAAGTTCCTGGTAACTATTCTTGCCCCTGTTGTAACTGTTCTGCCCTTGTGCTTTTCTTCCCCCTGAGCATCTCTGGTACTTTGTTTTGTACTCTGCTAGAAATAGTCCCTGAAAATTAAAATAGTTGTGAGTAACAAATAGCCTTGAACTTCTTTAAACCCCATTTGATTCATGAAATAGTACAGCTTGAGCACCCTTGCCATTCTGTGTTCTTCATGCTCCTGCTTTCTGCCTTTAGAATGGGAACTCTTTCAGTGCAGCCAATCAACTGGCAAGCTGGAGCTGTTGCCCAGAATCTGCTTGTAACAACATGAAGTGAAACTCTTGTGAGAGGGTGCTGGTTGAAGACTAGAGGATCAAGCTCAGAGCTTTGTCACTTATCCCAGTGTGACTTTGGATGGAGCAGGTTTTCTTTTAGGACCAGGTTTCAAGTTCTTTCTCCAACATGGCACTTAATATTTGAGTTTGGCTGTGAGTTGATGTCTGTTGCTGTGAGATGGGTGCTGTGGAGAGCTTCAGGAGCCTTTGCATGGAGACTGCCAGCTTTTGCCCCTGGTTTATCTGAATGTCTTGGAAAGATTGTTTGCAGAAATGTTGTGGTTGATCTGTATGGAAGAACACTGAGGTAGGTTGTATAGTATTAAAAGGGGAGAACCTTCTAAAACAAGTGTTTTATACCACAATGCAGAATGGATATTTTTTCAATAGCATTTTCATAGAATATTGGCAGTAGGAAATTCCTGAGCTTTCTCATTTATCCTACTGCTTTTCTTACTCTGGAATTGATTCCTTTCTAGTGAAGATGAATCAAGATCAGGGTAGAAAGCAAAGCAACGAGGTTTGCTAAGATGCAAATATTGCAGCTCTTTCTGGGGGCTGACAAATACAGGTCAGTAATGGCTTTGGTGATTTAAATCTCACTGTTGCACAGTGCTTTTGATAACAAAGGGTGTATGATGGTACTAAGCAGTTTAAATCCAGAACTTTTGTGCCTGCTTTTACTAGTTTGAACAGCTTCAAATGACAGCATTTTCTCCCTGTTTGAATTTAAATGTTCTTTGGTTGAGGTTTTCAACCCAAATACCAAAGTATTGTGCCACTAGCTGAAAAACTGAACAGGCTTGAATGAAGCCTGCCTCGTGCTGTTGCATAAAACAAGAGGGAAGCTCTGAAGGGAATTAGTACATAAAACTATTTGAGAAATGTCATTAGTGCTGGTAGCAAAGAGTATGGCTTGTTTCAACACTCTGGGTGAACACACCAGGTTAAAAGCATGACATCAGTGGCTTTTCTTTTAAAAGGATCAGCCCTCTGTTATAAGTAAACCAGAGCATGTTTTCTCCTGTGTAGCTGTAGTGGTTCATCATGAAGACCCCCTTGTTTATGCTGGGTTAGCCCAGCTCTTTGATGCTGCAGCTGAGCTGTTGAGTTGTCCAAGGGCTCAGTGCCTATGGGTGGGCTTCCCTGGGTTGTCACCTGGCTCTGCTGTCTCTACTAAGGAGCACTTGTCCCTTTGTTGTCTGACCTCCCTTCCTTCCTGCAGGAGTCCTGTAGGATGATGTTAACCATCTCTTTCTCCCACCCACAGGGAGCGGAGCGACAGCTGTGGTGCAGGCAGCCTTCTGTGTTCCAAAGAAGGAGAAGGTGGCAATTAAACGGATCAATCTTGAGAAGTGTCAGACGAGCATGGATGAACTCCTGGTATGCAACCAAAACGGTCTGGCAAATTGTATTGCAGCTAACATCATCTGTTTGCTTACTGAGTGCCTTTGAAGGACCTTTCTTGAGGTGGTGTGAGAGGACCTGACTGATTTAGCTGGAGGCAGACCAATCCCTGGTTGTGGGGCACAGTCCCTGAGAAAATGTTAAAAAAAAAGATCAATTGTTGGAGAACTTCAAGCTGTTGTTTAGAGCTAAGCGTTCTGTGTAATCCCTTTGTTTTGAGTGGGGTTGATGTGCAAGTGTAAAGTCCAACTGCCTGTACAAGAGCTGTGCAATGGAAGCTAAGGCTTCTGCGAACCTTACAATTTAGGGGAATCATTTTGCCTTCTCTTCCTATCCTGCAGTTCCTTACATTCTCTCCTTCACCTGTAAAAAGAGAAACTGAATGAGGTCGCTCTTGTCAGGCTTGTATGTTGATGGGATTTTCCTGCTGGTGAGAGAGCTGGTGTTTCTACTGCAGCACAGTTCATCTCGCATGTAGAAGGTCCCTTAAGCCAGACAGGTATGGGCATTCCTATGGACAGGTGTCAGCATTGAAGCTGTGAAAGTTCTCTTGGGTAAAGCTTTCCATAGTAAATAATGATCAGCAGGATCTGAGGAGAGGCAGGGAGAAGATATTATACCACCTTTCCTTTTAAAGCAGCTCTCCAGGAATTTCTTAATCCTTCCTATATTTTCATTTGTGTCCTGACAGCTCCTGTGCTATTAAGCCAGGTGCTGATTTTGGGGATCACAGAGGGAAAACAGAACAGGGACAGAATGCAGATATCCTGGCTAGTTCTGCACATGTATAATTCTCAGCAAGTCACATGAACTACAGTTCCAGTTTCCATACAGTGACTAATGCTGTTTTTATCATCATAGGTATCTACAAATATGCTCTTATAAAGAGGAAAGGCTCCATTCAAGCTGTCATGTTGTAATGTGCCTGTGAAGGACTGTGTGTAGGACTCTCTCTTAAGATGACCTGCATTCAAGCTCTGTTACAGCTCTTCTTAGCATAGGGGTTGCAGATTGCTTCCCTTTTCACAGTCAGTTTTTCTGTCTTGAGTACTGTCCCTTGGTACTCTTTCCAAGTCTTTTATGTGACTTATCCCTACTTCTGTGCCTCAGTAGTATGCCAAACAGAATTGTCACAATCTACTAATTGAGATTGTTAGTGTTTGAGTAATTGCCAGTTCCAGCTAAAAGGGTTAGGTTCAGAAAGATACGCTGCAGAGACTTGGCATGTAATTTTAGGTAAGTATGTCTAATTGCATATTTTAAATCTCTCGTTGACCTGTTGCTCACAGTGACTTGACTTGTTATGGCAGCACTGCAATGAAAGGCTCTTGTCAGGTCTCAGATTCCAATTTTGTTACCAAATAGAGTGTGGGTCTTTCTTCAGGCTTTTTTATAGGTCTGTTGTGAAGGCAGACATTTACATCTCAACATAGCGTTTGTTAACGCCTGGGATGAAGGCAGGTCTTTCTATACCTGCTGTCAGACTCTTCATAACTTGCCTGGTAGCTTTTTGTAGTCAGCACTTGTGTTGTATGGCTCCAACAGACAAACTTGGGCACAGCCTGTAGAAAATAACTTCTTTATAGTGAGATGTGCAAAAGTGAGGAGAACCTGATGGTAAGTAGTCCTCCAAGCCAGTTAATCTGTCCTCAGATGTAACATTTCTTTGGTGTGCTTCCGATGATTTTATTCTAACAGCGTCATACAGCTCCTTCAGAAGGTCAGGTCCTCCTTTTTCACTCTGATACGGTAGTCTGACTGGTTCTCTTTTTCTGCATACCTCAGAAGACAAATTCTTAATCTGATCTTTGAAATAAGCCTCTGTGCCATGTCTTCAGTTGTGCTGCCAGATACTGTAGCCCTCCTAGAAACCTGACTTGAGAAACACAAGTAAGTGATTAGTGCCTGATGCTTCAGAGGAGAATGCAGTATTTGAGCCCTGGACAATTTTGGGATAATCTCTTGCTAAATAAGTTCTTGTTCTGATGTGTAACAGTTGAGCTCTTATTTATCCAGATTTAAATTGATCTCTTAATTATTTTTGAAAATGTATCAAAAATGCAACTATGGTGACTTGAAATAATGAGAGGAGGAAGATGTTTTTGGAGCTGCTGTAGCTTTCTGGGGCAGGGGTCACCAAGGTAGGTGTGTTTTATGGGAAAGAGTCTTTTCCCTTGGTTTGTTCTGAATTTCAGCTTATTGAATGGTTGTTTCTCAATGAAAAAGTCAAAAAGGTTGAAGCTCTTCTACACTTCTTGGTCTCGTCTCCATATTTGCCTCTTCTCCAGAGTAAATATTTTCAAGGTTTTCAGTCTTGTGGTCTCCCTTTGTGCCAGTTTCCTAGATTTGTTTAATTACCTTTTTCTGAGCATCCACTTGTTATTGCAGGATTATTTTTTTTCTCCAAAGCCCATAAATGCAAGCCCTTGTGGAGTACAGCTCTAAGAAGCGAGTGCAAAGAGAAATATGGTGAGTCCATACTAATGCTATGCTCTCTCCTTGCTTTCTCTTCTCCCCTAATGCTGTTAAAAGCATGAAGTTGGGCTTTTATTAGATCCATTACCTTTCTATTGCACTGAGGGTATCCAGGCACAATAGTCAGCTTATGGAAAACTTTCTGTCTCTCAGGCAGTAAATCAATGCTCTCATGTTACAGCAGTGCCCAGCCATCCGAAAGGGGAAAATCTAACTTAAAATACTTTTTTTTTTCTTCTAATTCTGCAGTGCTTCAGATGTGTCTGAATACAAGGAAACATAGGAGCACCTCCTAGCTTGTAGAGATGCCTTGCCTAGAGTGATTAAGCTGATCTAATAGTAGGGCTTGACTCATTAAAGGTATTGATTTTGATCCTGATATCTCCACATCCACTCAAGCTGTGCGGGTGGTCAGGGGTAACCTGCATGCTCTGCAAACGCTGCATGACATTCTAGGTGACTGCAGTGGATTGGTTTCCTTCTGCTGCATTCTTCCTTCTGTATGGAAAGGTGCAGTTTTAGGAAGGAGTGATTTTTGTTGTACTGAGCAAACCAAGTTGAGACCATTGAGGTCTTCAGGTGGAGTGATAATTGCTGTAATTGTACAGACTGAGAGGCATAATGCTATTCAAAGATGTGGTTCTCTCTAGCCCAGCTACCAAATCAGGTAATACTAATCAGGAATTGATTTTAATACTTGATTTCTTTTTTTTCTTTCCTCCTGTGCATTAAATGTTGGCAGATCTTTCCTAAAAGGCCTATGAAGTTCATCTGGAAGGAAAGTACAGTGCAGCTTATTGTGGTTCCTGCTGACCAGTGTGACTGAAAGCAGTGTGTATTGTCAAATATGGTGATCATCAGTCTACTACTGGTCTCTGGGGCTTCTCTAGTTGTTGTTTCAGTTCCACTTCTTACTTGTCGTGCAGCCCACAGTAGATAAATGCATGTGAAGTGCTGCTTAATTTTGTTGAAAACAGCCAACTTGTGTTGTATTTCACAGCTGAATGCTGTTTCCTGCTGTGTTGCTCTTCCCTCTACTTTCCTATATGACATGTAGTTACTGCAGTTGTTTGTCCTTGAAGAGCAGTGGCATAACAGCTGCCTCAAAATAACTGCCTCAAGCTTTGTTCTTATACAGATGTCTTCTTGTAAGGAATTATTGATCTTAAAGGCCTTAGATTTCTCTGTCCGTCAGGCTCAGCTTCATTTTCATACAATTAAAACAGAATTAGCTTTCTTTCATCCACATGGATTTTTCCTTGCTTTTGGAGAAGCAGATGGTAGGATTTCTCTCTGTTTAGCAGTTGGTGGGAATGTTGAATAGCTGTAGGGTATATCACAAAAGGACAGAGTTGTAGGGCTTGGAAGGGACGTTAAGAGATAGAGTCCAACCCTCCTGCTAAAGCAGATACCCTATAATAGGTTGTACAGGAAGATGGGTCTTAAATATCTCCATAGAAGGAGACTCTACAACCTTTCTGGGCAACTTGTTCCAGTGCTCCATCACCATTACTGTAAAGAAGTTCTTCTGCATATTAGTATGGAACTTCCTATGTTCAAGTTCTAGGCCATTATTCCTTGTCCTATTGCTACATGCTGCCAAGAAGAGCCTGGCCTCATCTCTTTGCCTCCTACCTCCCTTTAGGTATTTATAAACATTTATCAGATCCTCCCCATGTCCCCAGTTGTCTCTTCCCCAGGTTGAACAGACCCAGCCTACTCAGCCTTTCCTCATTTGGGAGATGCTGCAGGCCCTTAATCATCTTTGTGGTCCTCTACTGAACTCCTTCCTTTTTTTATTGAGCTGGGGAGCCCAGAGCTGGATGCAGTAGTCTAAATGTGGCCTTGCCAGGGCAGAATAGAGGGCGAAGATCATCTCCCTTGACCTGTTGGCCGAGCTCTTTGTAATGCACCCTACGATTCCATTGGCCTTCTTGGCCACAAGGGCACACTGCTGGCTTGTGGCCAACCTGTTGTCCACCAGCACCTCCAGTCCTTCTCTGCAGAGCTCTGCTGAACTCTTTTAGGTAGATCTTTCTCAATTGAGAGAGCACTGCTGCCTCTGCAGCTCCCAGAGTTATTCAATAGAGAACAAGTTTGGGAGACAGAGTCTAGAGATGGACATAACACGTTTTGTACATAAAAGGAGAGAAGTGAGGGTACTACTTTCTTCTACTCCTGTGGTCAGATGGTAAGGAAGCTGAGGGTAACAAATCTAACTACAATAGAAATATATGTCCTTTTGAATTTCATGGAATTGGCCTGGGGAGCTTGCTGCCAGTAATATGGAGATCAAACATTGCATGAGATTAAATAAATCAACCTATAGTAGAGAGGGTTAATTTAGATAGGATTTATAAAAAGGATTATGAACTCCCCTGGTTTAAAGCATCAGCCAACTGTTAACTGCCTGGGCTTAGTTAGAAGTCTCCCCTCCGGGCAGATAAATCTGTAACTGCTTGTTAGAGGGTTTTACACCTTCTTTTGAAGACTTGGACAGG